TATTGTTAATAATATTTTTTTTATATACAAGTTGAATTATGCTGTTGTTTTTAATATATATATTTATTTGATAATGGATCTAAATATAAGTTTCTGGCCAGATTGGTTTCCATTTCAGAGTCAAGTCAAGAGTGAGTTAAGCTGGTGGAACTTGGTCATCTGCAGGATAGCACTATGTAACAGAATTCTTGTTCAGTTAAGACTATAGACTTGAACAGATCTCACATTTGCCATTCATTGAAATTATTTTTACCACTTTTGTGATCTGGTAGAAGCATGGGATGAATACAAATACCTGCAAATCCACATCCTCATGTTTCAAAACATCTTGTAATATATCTCTGTTTTCCCACCTGAATATCATCCATTACTTATCTTTGTACCTACTGTAGGACTATATTCCCAGTATGGTTACTCATGTGAAAGGTATGAACATCATATGAGGGTTACTGCACTGCAATGTACCAAGCATGCAAAAGTGTACAGCAGGGGATGAGGCAGATGTCATTTCTTTTTATGGGCACTTCCACAGTGTGAAGTCCAGATTTAAGGGGTTTCTTAAGCCTGTGGCCTGTCCATTTATCAACTATTTGAAAACCAGTTATCTACTACAAATTAACAATCAATATATACGTGTCCAATCCCTGGTCGCCAAGATATCACTTTCTCCCCAAAAAGTTAAAAATGTGAATCCTCCCCCAAACAATAGATATCACCCACAACCATATGTGAACTCTCCTTCTTTACTAATTTCCTTGGATATGCAATTCTCACATCTTCACACTCAAAAATGCACATACAACACATATAGTGCATTACGGTTTATCAATCACAATTTTTTTTTATGTCACACTCACAAAATGTGTTATAATCCGTGCGTATCAAATTCACCACTTGTTCTCTTCTAATTATCTGCAATTCCTACTCTTACCCTCTATATGTATCTTAATCGCTTTATTGCCGGTTTCCACAAAAGTTTTCTTCAATACGTGAATACTCCTTTCGTCTTCCTCTCCAAAGATAGTATACCCTCCAAGAAAATTATGTGTACCTAGTGTAATACTGTAAATCCATCAATATCGTGTCCTTCCGTGCGCCACTATGTTACAAGATTGTGACCACCAGTGAGGAAAGCGACCACCGATAGAAGAAACACTCCACCACCTCTCAAACCATGCACCTTACCAGACTGTATCAGTCAGATAGCTGATCTTTTGACAAAGTTGGAAATGATGAAACGCGTCAGCCGGTAACGTCAGACGTAGATCTGAAGTTGTGTTGTGGCCATCTTGGATGAGGTCTGGATTAGAGTGATCGAACGCTGATGTAAACCATTTGTTTGTAAGCGCTTTTTACATTGATAAACCGCTGGTTTTACATTTTAATACATGATGTATGCCTATTTGTTTTGACCCATATATTGCTATCGTTGGGAGTAATGGGAGTGATGTTGGTTGGGAAGAGTTGTCTCTGTCTAAGGCTATCTGACCAAGTCTGGTAAGGTGCCTGGTTTGAGAGGTGGTGGAGTGTTTCTTCTATCGGTGGTCGCTTTCCTCACTGGTGGTCACAATCTTGTGCTTGAAATGCACAACGCTTCTAGAATGGTCTTGCAGTCTCCTGGGACCTGTAACATCCAAGGTGCTTGTGGGTGGCGAGAGGGCCAAACTTTCTCTCTGCTTGACTAGGCGAGGAGAGCGGAAGTGGGAACAGGTTGCTATTAGAACCCCCTCAGTTCACTATAAATGACAGGGGAAGTGGAGAATGAGTGCAGCATCACATTTTAGCTGAAGTTCCACTTTAATCAGTGTATGATTGAGCAATGGATGAGCAGGGTAAATAGTGTGAGCTTAGCTGCTAAGAGAATGAATGGAATGACTTTAGCGAGAGCTTGCTTAAAAGTTTATTACCTGATCGGCACAGGTTGCTAAGAAACCACTTACCCATTTCTATGACACTGCTCCCTCACTAACCAGGAGAGAAAGATGTTGATCCCTCGCTAGTGATGGAGATTTGACACCGTTCCAGGCCAGCTAGGGAACAATTCCATAAAGGGTAAGTGGAAGGCTCTTTTGGTGATTCTACAGCTGCTGATGTGTTGTCAACAGCAAAATCATCCGTGTGACATGACTCCAGAAGCGCCTTGTAAAAAACATACACTAGCCAATACACAGATACTACCAAAAGTGCCAGATACTTTTACAATTTGCTGGATGAAGTAAGTAAATGAGAACTTTGCATTACGCATTTTCAATTTTAAATATTCTACCTAATGAGCCTACTATAAAAATATAATATCAACCACCAGGAACATATTTCACTGTATTCCCAATACAAGGACTCTGTTACAATGAGCCATTTAGTCAAGTGTTCCAAGCCTTGAGCATCACTGTTACACATGACCTAAAGACAATAGTTCTTTATTTCTTGAGTCTATGTGCGTTCTCATCTATTTATTTTATTGTAGGAAGTATTTTCTTAGTAGGATACAATGCTGTATGCACAGACCAGCTTTTTCACACTTCTCCAAATATTAAAGGGCCTTGATAGTTGCATATGTTGACAATCTTATCTTCATGGTATATTTGTTACACACCAGCCTCCATCAGTATGCTGATAATAAAAAAATCAGTAGAAGTGTACTTTAGAATAAAAGAGGATTATGAAAACAATGTTCTGATATTAGTTATAAAGTTTGTCATTTAAAATAGAAATAACACGATAGTATCCAAAGCAGCCTCCCTTGACCAAAAATACAGCATGGTTTTTCCTAAACAAATCTTGGCCTGCACCCATCTACAAGGTTTTTATCTTTACCATGCTCCCCACTTCACAGCCCCTTTGTACCAGGCTCATTGTGAGGTTAACAACAGTTGTGCACAATCTTTCTCTGTATAAATGCCAAATGCTACTACAACTTTCATCAGCAGTTGAAGCCATTCTCCGATCCATGCTAAACAGCATGGATGATGGACTCTCCACTGCTGGCTATAGAATCCAGGCATAGTAAAAAGTATACCTTATGGCACAGCTCTAAGCTATGGATGGAAGTAAAAGGATCACCCGACTGGCAAGTGAGAAGAGGGGAAAGACCTCTGTGACCAAGCTCCAGTGGGCGGGGCGAAACACAACAGTGGCCATGGCCAGTATGGCGGCTGAGGCCATTCCTTAACATTGGACTCCTGGGGTCGATTGAACATCATCCATCACTTCACTTATAGTATCCAGGCAGCTGTAGTATCCATGCTTTCCATGAATATGAACAGTGGCTGTATCTAATAGGATGAGGTCAATGTTCAACCAATAATTTTCCATCCAGCTCGGTCAATTTTTGCAATGCCACCCACGCCTCGAATTTTGGCTGATTCAGCAGGAAGGCTGACAGCAGAGAGGCTGGATGGATAAGTTTGCTCAGTAACTAGAAAAATAGGGGAAACTGTTACCCTTCATTGCTAGCATTTTGGTGTATGGCCTCTGAGTTGGTAAAATGGAAGTACATAGAGTACATAAAGTAGCACAATGCACAGGACTGTTCAGGGACAACAATGAGGACTCAATGGAATTGCACTTTTTGGAAGGGTGGTAGTTTGGAACCCATATACACATGACTGTGTTACTAACAGAAGCATTATATGATGATCTCTACATGTCGCCGTTACTACCCTAAACCTGGACCTGTATTGGTTTTTAAGAAATCTAAAACAGTAGCTGAGTGCCTGGTGCTAAAATACTGTGGTGAGCGTACCACTCAAGTGTACGGAAATTTCACTAAAATCCCATTACCCTGTGATCTCCTGCCTGACCATGTCTGTATAGTTCTGGTGCTGACATCACTTATCAGAGCTGGGAGCCAGGACAGTAATCTGCTAGGTCTCAGGTAAGTATATAACACTGAAAACCAATGATATGTTCCTGAATTAATTTCCACTGACACCAATAAAAGGAACCGCTAATACACTGCTCACAGTCCTACATACAATTCTGGGGAATAAGAGAAGGAATCTTTCTACTGACAGCAGCCATTGCACAGTATGTTTCTCTTACTGAATTCTGATGCCGGTATATGACAATATATTTATTTCACTGATCGCTGACACCAAGGCATTTTTTCCTCTAACAGATTGCCAATGCTGGGGCATTCTTCCTCATCCCCCTACCATTGGGCCGGTCTTTCTCCCTCTGACCATTGATGCCAGAACATTCTGCAACCACTAACCTCACTAACATATGGACATGCTTACTGCTACTGACAGCTGATGCTGGGAATACCTTACCCCCCACTGACCAGCAATGGCCACTAAGTTATATACTCCTAATATCCGCACTCTATAAGCTACGTTGTATGTTATGTACTGTTGACCACTCTATAATGCTATGTTGTATGTTACATTATCATGACTGAAGATGAGCTTACATCTGTTTATAACTGGTTACAGGACAGAACCTGGAAGTCAGCTGTCATCACTGGTCCAATGAGAGGGATTCCCTGTCCCACAGTTGATGTATACAAAATACAAAGGGGCAGGAATGCTCATGACATAATTTATGTAAGATGGCCACATGGCCATACAATTCAATGACATTGAGCATGCTACATGAACCATTAAGTGTTCTGCTTACTCATGTTCAAAAGTTGAGAGGTATGCAGTAAATGTCGCTGGTTCACACATTTGCCATTTTTGTATTTTTTGTTATTTAAGCAAAATTATAACTGTAATGCAAGGCCTTCTGGGAGAGGTGTAAGGATCCTCCAGTAATTGCCTATAACTCTACTATAAGTTTGAACATTAGGTGACATTTGTATTACATCATGGAAAATGTTCGGAAGCTGATTGTAGAGTTTGAAACTTGACATTCATGTAGGTTATACATTGACACTGGTTACATTTTACAGCATTTGCTTATAAGCAACCGGTTAGTAGCACAAAAGCAGGAGCCGGTGGGAAGTGTAGAGGCATTTGTTTCTTGAAGCTGATTACACAGAACCGGCAATAGCAAACTGCTCAATTATCTGAGAATAGACTGGCAAAAGACTTCCTCAGATTGCGGATACTGTCTGCTTTGGCTTCATCCTCATTGCTTGATGATCTGAAGAAGGATGACTGGGTGAAGTTGAAGGCATTGGTCAAAGACTGAGACTTGCTAGATAAACATCAGAAAGAAAAAAAAAATTAGTACAACACAAAACCAAAGACTTGGTTATGAGATGAAGTGCATTTTATTTAACTGAAGTCATATATCATTTCTATAATTTTAGAGTCATATTAAATGTCTGTGGCATATTTATTTGTCTATTTTTAACAATGGCTTCTTTATGAACTTGTCAAACAGCAAAGCACATTAAGCATAGCTCCAGTAAATATCTATTGCATGGACTGGAAGGTGTAATGTGATAATTACCCTCATCTCTGTGGTGTTCTTTGCCAGACATGACTCTTTGCAAATTCTGCAGAGATTGTAGTGGTACCATTAACTCAATGCTGTTTTAAAATATTTTTTTAAACATTAGGACATATAGATAAGATTACTTAAATCACTTTTTTTTAATATACACTATATTGCCAAAAGTATTGGGACACCCCTCCAAATCATTGGTTTCAGATGTTCCAATCACCTCCATGGCCACAGGTGTATAAAGTCAAGCACCTAGGCATGCAGACTGCTTCTACAAACATTTGTGAAAGAATGGGTCACTCTCAGGAGCTCAGTGAATTCATGCGTGGTACCGTGATAGGTTGGCACCTGTGCAATAAGTCCATCTGTGAAATTTCCTTGCTACTAAATATTCCACGAGCAATGGTGGTATTATAACAAAGTGGAAGCAACTGGGAACAAAAGCAACTCAGCCACAAAGTGGTAGGTCGCATAAAATGAAAGAGCGGGGTCAGCTCATGCTGAAGCGCACAGAAGTCGCCAACTGTTTGCAGAGTCAATAGCTAAAGACCTTTAAACTTCATGTGCTCTTCAGATTAGCACAACAACAGTGCATGGAGAGCTTCATAGAATGGGTTTGCAAGGCCAAGCAGCTGCATCCAAACCTTACATCACCAGGTGCAATGCAAAGCATCGGATGCAGTGGTGTAAAGCACATCGCCACTGGATTTTAGAGCAGTGGAGACGTGCCCTCTTGCTTCACTGTGCACAAGGCAGCTGTCCCTCCTGCTCACCCCTTATCCCAGCCCTGCCTACAACCACATGCAATGTAGCTGTGCATAGGGGTCAGTGCATGCTGAAGTGCACAGAAGTTGCCAACTGTTTGCAGAGTCAATAGCTAAAGATCTCCAAACTTTGTGTGGCCTTCAGATTAGCACAACAACAGTGCGTACAGAGCTTCATGGAATGGGTTTCCATGGCCGAGCAGCTGCATCCAGGCTTATATCACCAGGTGCAATGCAAAGCATCGGATGCAGTGATGTAAAGCATGCCGCCACTGGACTTTAGCGCAGTGGAGATGTGTTCTCTGGAGTGAGGAATCACGCTTCTCTGTCTGGCAATCCGATGGACGTGTCTGGGTTGCCAGGAGAATGGTACTTGCCTGACTGCAATGTGCCAAGTTTAAAGTTTGGTGTGGGGTTGTTTTTCAGGGATTGGGCTTGGCCCCCTAGTTCCAGCAAAGGGAACTCTTAAGGAGTCAGCCTACCAAGACATTTTGGATAATTTCATGTCCCAACTTTGTGGGAAGAGTTTGGGGATGGCCCCACCCTGTTCCAGTATGACTGCGCACCAGTGCACAAAGAAAGATTCATAAAAGACATGGATGAGCGTGTTCGGGGTGGAGGAACTTGACTGACCTGCAACCTGATAGAACACCTTTCTGATGAAATAGAGCGGAGACTGCAAGCCAGGCCTTCTCATCCGACATCAGTGCCTGACCTCACAAATGTGCTTCTGGAAGAATGGTCAGACCTTCCCATAGGCACCCTCCTAAACCTTGTGGACAGCCTTCCCAGAAGAGTTGAAGCTGTTATAGCTGCAAAGGGTGGGCCACCTCAATATTGAACCCTACGGACTAAGACTGGGATGCCATCAAAGTTCATGTGTGTGTAAAGGCAGGAGTCCCAATACTTTTGGCAATATAGTGTATGTTTTATATATAGATACAGAAGAAAGTGGAAACTGAATTTATTTTTTGACATACTACCCTGCTGCATTTATATACATAACCCAGTATTTAACTAATGCCTGGAAAGCTTCAGCATAGAAATATTTGTCAGTAAGACTGAACTAGAAATAGAAAAAAAAACACACAAACATGATTAAAATATGATACTACAGTATATACAAAAATACTGTACATGCATAAAAATTAAATATATAGAGGGGAATGTATGAAAACTGAAGCCGCTGTGCATGGCAACCAATTTGCTTATGTTTTCAGCTTGTTCATTTAAGCTTTGAAAATGAAAGACAGAAGCTGATTATTTGCCATGCACAGCTACTACAGATTCTGTCTGCTCCAGTTTTAATGAATTCCACTGACTATTTGTAAGTAAAGAAATGTAAATAGGCCCTCAAGTGTAGTATAAGGCTACTGTAGTGTAATGGGTCCAAGAAGTTTTACCACCCATCCTTTTGGAAAGTGTGTTTTGCTGGCTACCACTTAAAGCAGGCTTTTCTTTTTTTTTTTTTGACACACTGCACTAACCATATTAAAATGCAACAATATGAATGCAACCTTACAGGATCTTCATTGACAATGAATCATGATTAAATATATTTTTTTCTAGTAAATGCAGAGATCTAAAATCCTCAGTTAAAGGGGAGTTAAACTCTGGTGTCGGTGCCCAAAGAAGGCAGGCAGAGGGCAAAGGACTGGGCACCAGTATTGTGTGTGGTCTCCCTGAAGCGGATTTTTCTCCATTACTGCCATACCACACCTTCTTCTGTATAACTCTCTGTATGGAGGTGTCCACGTTGGTACAGGCAGGACTTTGCTTCCTCATGTTATAGCCTCCAGTAAGGAGAACAGTGAGCAGCTCAGTAGTGCCATATACCATATCTGGTTTCAAGTTACGTCATTCCGGTCACGTGGTGATGCACGTCCGGAAGCAGCGGCCATATTGGTTTCCCCTGGTTTCATGCAATACACCCATGGGATGGGGTGAAAACGCTGATGTAACAAGAAATATATGTGAGTGCAATCTTTGTCTTTCATGCTTTTCTTTATTAAACGTTATTGCACTATGGAAGGATTTCTCTTGTGTCTTATATACAGTTGTGGCCAAAATTATTCAACCCCCAATGCTGTAAAGGGGTTTAGGGACTATAGTGTACATTTGGAATTGTATTCAGAATCAAATCCTACAAGGACGTTGTAACTACCCAAATGCAACTAAAATGACATCAATTGTTTATGTAATACAGTAGTAAATGGTTCTTATGTGGTTTCTTCATTGCCACAATTATTCAACCCCTTAAAGACTACCACTCTGAAGAACAGAGGTTCATACAGGTGCTTTCCATCAGGTATTGAAAACACCTGTGGATGTCACCGAGCAGCAATCAAGCATAATAAGCACCAATTAGGCAGCTTTAAAATGACTGTGATACTCAGCTCCTTCTAGACATTTACTGGTGTGGTTACAAACATGGTGAAGGCAAGAGAATGGTCCAGGAAGACAAGAGAAGAGGTGATTTCTCTTCACAGGAAGGGCAATGGCTATAAGAAGATTGCAAAGATGTTAAACATACCAAGAGACACCTTAGGAAGCATCATTCGCAAATTCAAGGCAAAGGGCACTGTTGAAACGCTACCTGGTCGTGGCAGAAAGAAGATGCTGACTTCGACTGCTGTGCGCTACCTGAAGCGTAGAGTGGAGAGAAGTCCCCGTGTGACTGCTGAGGAACTGAGAAAAGATTTGTCAGATGTGGGTACAGAAGTTTCAGCCCAGACAATAAGACGCACACTGCGTAATGAAGGCCTCCGTGCCAGAACTCCCAGGCGCGTACCCCCTTGCTGTCTCCAAAGAATAAGAAGAGTCGACTGCAGTATGCCAAAAGCCATGTGGACAAACCACAAAAGTTGTGGGATAGTGTTCTGTGGACTGATGAAACAAAATTAGAACTGTTTGGGCCCATGGATCAACGCTATGTTTGGAGGAGGAAGAACAAGGCCTATGATGAAAAGAACACCTTGCCTACTGTGAAGCATGGTGGAGGGTCAATCATGCTTTGGGGCTGTTTTGCTTCTGCAGGTACAGGGAAGCTTCAGCGTGTGCAAGGTACCATGAATTCTCTTCAGTACCAGGAGATATTGGATGGAAACGTGATGCAGTCCGTCACACACCTGAGGCTTGGGAGACGTTGGACCTTTCAACAGGACAATGATCCCAAGCATACCTCCAAGTCCACTAGAGCATGGTTGCAGAGGAAAGGCTGGAACATTTTGGAGTGGCCATCGCAGTCACCAGACTTAAATCCGATTGAGAACCTCTGGTGGGACTTAAAGAAAGCAGTTGCAGTGCGCAAGCCTAAGAATGTGACTGAACTGGAGGCCTTTGCCCATGAAGAATGGGCGAAGATACCCGTAGATCGCTGCAAGACACTTGTGTCAAGCTATGCTTCACGTTTAAAAGCTGTTATAACTGTAAAAGGATGCTGTACTAAGTACTAAGATTGAATGTCACTTGGGGGTTGAATAAAACTGATAATGCTGTGAGCACAGAAAAGACATTTGTGGTTATTTCATTATAACTGTTATGTTATATTTGTCTGACCTACAAGTGCCTCTTTAATGTAAATGTAAGCAAGATGACTGAATGATCAAAAGCAATGTCAAACTGGCCAAAACACTCAATTTCAGTGGGGGTTGAATAATTTTGGCCACAACTGTACTACTGAGTGGAGGTGGAGTGGAATAGAGAAGTCTTCAATTTCCCTGTGATCCCTGGATGAGCTATCTACATGTAAGAATCTGATACAGAGGAGAGTAATAGCCTTTTGGCCCTGTGTGGGTCAGTGTGGGGAGGTGAGCAGGCACTGCTGCCATTTGAGGATTTGTGCACTAGAAGTGAAGATCACTTTTCCACGAAGTTTCACTTGCATGGACTTTGTCTATTTTTGAATATTCACAGATGGTGGTCTTATATTTGTGTGATTCACAGTTATATGATAAAAATAATTTGACTGAATTTTGATATATG